TTCTCATCTTCATTCATCTTCTGCTTCGTCGATCGTTAATGCTCATCACTTGGTCAATGTAGTTCCTGTTAAGCTTCGTACAGATAATTACCTTCTTTGGAAGAATGTTTGTCTTCCGATTTTGGAATCATATGATTTTCTAGGGTTAATTGATGGCTCTAATCGTGCGCCAGACCGTGTTCTTCTTGGACCACCTGGTTTTTCTTCTCCTCAACTCAATCCTGCGTTTAATGCTTGGTCTCGCAGAGATAAAAATTGTTTGATTTGTCTTCAAGGCTCGCTCTCTGAAGAAATTTTACCTTATGTTGTCGGTGCTACAACATCGCGAACTTTGTGGCTTAATTTGGAGCGGCGATTTTCGTCACTTTCTGAATCTCATATTATTGAGTTGCAATCGAAGCTGCAATCTCTCTCTAAAGGTGATCATTCCATGTCTCAATATCTGAAATCTATCAAGCATATTGATGATAGTCTTGCCGTTGCTGGAACTTCGCTTAGCTCTGCTGCCTTGGTTGTTCATACACTTAATGGTTTACCCGCTGAATATCACGCCTTTTCTACATCAATTCGCATCAGATCTACTCCAATTGTGATTGATGAGCTTCATAGCTTACTTCTTAGTGAAGAACTTGCTCTCCTCCGCCAAAATTCTATGAAGTCTTCATTTGAGACTCTGCTTCATGCTTTTGTAGCTGTTCAATTTGGTTCTAGTTCGAATCGTGGTTCTGCTAAGTCATATAATAGAGGTAGAGGCAAATCACAATTTCATTCTCCAAATCCTAATTTTCGCCCCAATTCTGGTGGTCATTTTCGCCCAAATTCTGGTGGTCATTTTCGCCCAAATTCCAGTGGTCATTCTGGTGGTATTCTACCCACTCCTCGACCCGGTGGTCATTCTGGCGGTTTCTCTGATGGCTCATCATCTGGTAATTTCTCTGTGGTCTCTCCAAGCTTGGGCAAAACTCAGTGTCAGATTTGTGATAAATGGGGTCACAGTGCCATTGATTGTCATCAAAGGATGAACCATTCTTATCAAGGTCGAATTCCTACTGCTCGTCTTGCTGCCATGGCTGCTGTTCACTCTGGTTCTTCGACGAATAATGCCTGGCTTGCTGATACTGGTGCTACAAGTCATGTTACTCCCAATCTTAGTGCTTTGCAGACTCACTCAGCTTACACTGGTGGTGAACAAATCTACATTGGAGATGGTCAAGGTTTGTCAATTTCTAATATTGGTCATACCTCTTTTCCAACATCTACTGGTATTTTTAAGCTTCGTGATGTGCTTCATGTTCCCAAAAGTGCTTATAATTTACTCTCTGTGCACAAATTCACTCTTGACAATCTGTGTTCAGTGACATTTACTCCTTTTGCATTCTTTGTTAAGGACCTAATCTCGGGGAAGATGCTTTTCCATGGTCCTAGTAAAAATGGTCTCTACCCATTCAACTTCAATCCTTTCTTCAATAAAGTTAGACATCAAGCTCTTGTTATGCAGAAAGCTTCTTCATGTATCTGGCATCGAAGACTTGGCCATCCATCCAAGTCTATTTTCCATTATGTTGTTAAACAACATAATCTGCCTTGTGTATCTTCTAATGATACCTCTTTTGTCTGTAATGATTGTTATTTAGGCAAAAGTAGTGAGCTTTCTTTTGCATCAGTTCCTTGTAAATCTCAACAAGCTTTGTCTCTGGTTCATTGTGACCTTTGGGGTCCAGCACCCACTGTGTCTGTATCTGGCTATAAATACTATGCCATCTTTGTTGATGATTGGTCTAAATATACATGGATTTACCCTTTATCTACAAAATCTGAATTTTCCTCTGTGTTTGTTATCTTTAAGACTCATGTTGAAAACCTTCTTGGTTCTAAAATCAAAATTTTTCGATCTGATGGTGGGGGTGAATTTACAAGTGCTGTGTTTACCCAATATCTTTCTAAACATGGAATTCTCCATCAATTTAGCTGCCCTTACACACCAGAGCAGAATGGTGTGGCAGAACGAAAACATCGGACTGTTGTTGAACTTGGCAGAACTTTAATTGCTCATTCCGGCGTACCACTGGTTTATTGGTTTGATGTTTTTCTTACATCTGTTTATCTTTTGAATAGATTACCTTCTGTTCATCTTGGTCACATGTCCTTGGTTACAACCATATTCTGGTTATAAACTGGACTTCAAAAGTATACCCTGTGTTTTTCTTGGTTATAGCATAAATCATAAGGGCTATCGTTGTCTCGATCCTATCACTCATAAGATTTATATCTCTAGGCATGTTCGTTTTCATGAAACTGTTTTTCCTTTCAAAACAACTTCTTCCTCTTCCACCATCCCATTTTCTTCCTCCTCTTTTGCTAGTTATCCTTCAATTCCAGCTTGTGTTAATATTGCCGATCTTCCTCCTCATCCTCCTACTTCTCATCCTCCTCCTTCTTCTCCTCCTCCTCCAACTCCTCCTTCACCTTCATAGCCTTCTATTAATACTCATCCAATGCAAACCCGGGCTAAAAGTGGTATATTCAAGCCTAAGATGCTATCTGCCACCTCACATCTTCTTCCCTCCACCGTTACCACTTCTATTTCTTCCATCCCAGCTACACTCAATACCTATAGACAGGCTGCAAAGGATCCAAGGTGGATTGAGGCTATGAATCTTGAATTTTCTGCTCTTAAACAAACTGGTACTTGGAAGTTGGTTCCTTATTGTCCTACTATGAATTTGGTGGGGTGTAAATGGGTGTACCGAGTTAAACACAAGTCTGATGGTACAATGGATAGGTTTAAAGACCGGCTTGTTGCTAAGGGTTTTCATCAACAAAGTGGTTTGGACTATAATGAAACTTTTAGTCCGGTTGCTAAGCCTACCACTATTCGGCTTATTTTGTCTCTTGTTGTTCAGTTTGACTGGAGTATTTCTCAATTGGATGTTACTAATGCGTTTTTGCATGGTCACTTATCTGAGGCTGTTTACATGGTTTCTGCTCTTAAACAAACTGGTACTTGGAAGTTGGTTCCTTATTGTCCTACTATGAATTTGGTGGGGTGTAAATGGGTGTATCGCGTTAAACACAAGTCTGATGGTACAGTGGATAGGTTTAAAGCCCGGCTTGTTGCAAAGGGTTTTCATCAACAAAGTGGTTTGGACTATAATGAAACTTTTAGTCCGGTTGCTAAGCCTACCACTATTCGGCTTATTTTGTCTCTTGCTGTTTAGTTTGACTGGAGTATTTCTCGATTGGATGTTACTAATGCGTTTTTACATGGTCACTTGTCTGAGGCTGTTTACATGGTCCAGCCCCCAGGCTTTATTGATTCTTCTTTCCCTTCCCTTGTTTGCAAGTTGGAAAGGAGCTTATATGGTTTGAAGCAAGCTCCCCGCGCTTGGTATGAAGAATTAATGCAAGCTTTGCTATCTCTTGGTTTTACTACGTGCAAATCTGATACTTCTTTATTTGTTCGAGTTGCCAATACTGTGACATTTATTCTTGTTTATGTGGATGATATTTTGATCACTAGTAGTTCTTCTGCCTTTTGCAAGCAACTGATTGGTGAACTTAGTGCTTTATTTCCAGTCAAAGATCTTGGTGCTCTTCATTATTTTCTTGCCTTGGAAGCTCATAGAGATGCCTCAGGTCTTTTCTTATCACAGACCAAATACATATTTGATTTACTCCAGAAAACTGCTATGGTTGGTGCCAAACCATATTCCTCTCCTACTTCTGCTGTTCGGTTGGATGCTACTTCTGGTGAACCTTTGTCTAATCCCACTGAATTTCGGGCTCTTGTGGGTGCTTTGCAATATCTCACTTGGATGAGACCCGACATCTCATTTTCTGTTAGTCAGTTATGTCAATTTATGCAATCTCCAAGGACACCACATTTAGTTGCTGCTAAGCGGGTTCTTCAATACCTTAAAGGCACCATGACCGAAGGTTTGTCTTTTACTAAGGGTTCTCTTGCTCTTCACTGTTATACAGATTCTGATTGGGCAAGGTGCCCTGTGGATCGACGCTCTGTTAGTGGTTTTTGTGTTTATTTTGGCTCTAATTTGGTGTCTTGGAGTGCCAAGAAACAAGCCACTGTGGCTCGATCTAGCACAGAATCGGAATACAGGGCTCTTGCTATTGCTTCTGCTGAGCTTATTTGGATCTGTAGTGTTCTGCGTGATCTCCAATTTTTTCTCTCTGCTGCTCCTTCTATCCACTATGATAATCTTGGTGCTTTGGCCCTCGCAGCTAATCCTGTTTTCCACTCCTGAACTAAGCATGTGGAAGTGGATTTTCATTTTATTCGTGAACTAGTTTCTGCTCGCGCTATCACCTTGCATCATATTACTAATGTTGCTCAAGTTGCTGATCTGTTTACCAAGCCTCTCTCTGTAGATCGGTTTTTGTCTCTTAAATCCAATCTGAAGTTGTGTGTTGCACCCTTCAGCTTGCGGGGGGTGTTACAAGTATGTCTCAGCCATCAATACAAGTTCATACTAACAACTCTGAACCTGCACACAGAAAATCACATGTAGATCAACAAGGCTCAGATGATGACACCTGTCATGTTTAGCTTAATTATGTTGTTAGATGTTAGTTACATGTTGTTATTCAGAGCTAAGTTTCTATCTTGTATAAAAGAAAACTACTGCAATTATTATTATTCAAGTGAATGAAATCAGAGGAAAATTCCAGATTTACTTTTCTTTCTAATTTTCTGAGCTAACTTTCTTAGCATCCAAACACACAATTCTAGATTTCTCATCACCAAATACCTAGTACCACTACCATACCATACTCCCTTGGTACGGTACGGTATGGTACCGAATATCTCCTCATCTCAAATGAAACGGTATGAAATCGGTATGGTACGATATAGTTAATGTATGGTTTCGGTATTTCGACTTTAGATGCCCACCCCTATTTGGTACACATCCATACTTTTCTTCGAGATAGAATAAACATTGGTAAAATAACAACTTTTTTACACCATACAAAACTAACGCGTATAATACCTTCTTATCCCTGCCCTCTCCCTCTTTTCGCACTTTCGCCCAACTCCCCCGAACTCAGCGCTCTTTCTCGCTCTCTCATTCGCGCTCTCTGTCTCTGTCTCTCTCGTTCATTTTCTCCATAGAAATCGAACTGAGCTCTCTCTCCGCTGGGTTTCTCTCTCTCATATCAGTTAACGGTAAGCATCCTCTTCCTTTGAATTTAGGGTTTATTCTTCTAAATTAAATTTAGGGTTTTTTCTGTTAAATTAGGCTCTGTTTTTATTTGGGAATTGAATTGAATTGATTAGGCTCTGTTTAATTTATGTTTTTTCTGTTAAATTAGGCTTGTGTCTAATTGAGCAAATACCTTCATCAATTGAACATCTAGTTGGCCTTGGTGAATTGCGTATAAATTGTTGCAAAAGTCTCTTGGGTCTACCGAGTGTGATATGCAATTTGAAGTCTCTTAAAATCCTCTGGGGGCTAAGTTGCTCAAAACTTGACAAACTGCCAGGGGACATGGAGTCTTTAGAGGAACTTTATTAAGACGGAAGTGCTATGAGAGAGCTGCCGCTTGTTATGAAATAGCTCAAACGTCTAAGCTTTGCTAAATCATCAACTTCAAGGGATGGCATTGGTATTGGAATTGGGTGGGGCCTTGACTGTTTATTTGATAGTTTGCAGGATGTGCTGTAATTTTATGTCCTCTATTTAAACTGCTCTGTCAGATTTTATTGTTTTCAGAATGAAATGAACCTAGTCACCTAGTGCTATTCTATAAACAGATAACTCCGGATAATGTACTGAAAACAGACAAGTAAGCTTCTGTATGCCATGAAAATGCACACTCTAAATCAACATGTTTGGTAACTGAGGAGGTATCTTGTTGTGCTTAGATGGTTTCTGCTATAGGTTCAAGTCCACATGTTGTATATTTTTAATACAGTTTGTTGGTCAGGTTATCCCCAAATTTGAGATTTTCTTTAACTATGCGGTCCATAACAATGAAGTTGCACAAAAATTGCGCTTAGAATATAATCTTTTGAAATAGTTTTGTCTGAAAATGGACTAAGCCTGCATATAGCTACTTATACAAACAGAAAACAGTAGAACAAATCCTAAAGTATATATATGCTATAGATTTACGAAACAAACTTGCGCTCTGCTTCCAGGACTTCCTTTTCCCTAAATTGTTTGCCCTTTTCCTGCGTTTGAGATATTTTCTGAGTGGATATGACTTGGGTTAGCTTGTTAATTTCAATGTGTTAGAATATTTACTTCCTATAGGCTTTGAGTAAAAGAACATTTTCAGAGCAACCTTTCAATGCGGTGCTATCAAACTGTTGCTATATTGAAATAATGCGTGGAAATTGTTAGTATAGTTCTGAGTCTTCCGACCAAAGAACAAAGGGGAAAATGATTAATAATGACGAAGGAATGTGTGTGAAAATCTAGGAGAAAGGATGAAAGAATAAGAGCGTGAGATAGGAATGCTGCTTCTGTAGATCTCTCTAGAGCTAAGGTTACAAGGAATATGGAGATCTGGGCAAGTGTAGGCCTGATATTGAATCAGTCGTTTTCCTTAGATTTTCTAGAGTAATGTTGAGGTCTTGTTATTGTGAGGTCAGCTCCATGCTTTCCTGTATGCTCTTAGTTAAGCTGACTATCAGTGTGAAGGTTAACAGTGAGAGTAGCTAGGCTAATGGCCAATACAAGAATAAAAAATGTATATGTTTTAGGCATACAGTTTAGAAATAATATTTATTTGCTACTTTAATTCTCAACGGAACATATAAATTGTTGGCACTAAAAACTGAACAGATGGAGATGAGTGCAACTTACAAACGAGATGGACGATCGAGAGATCGATTGAATGTTG